TTTACCTCACGGTTTTGGCAGTCACTTTAGAAGGCAATGGGAACACAATTGGACATGAGCACCGCTTATCACCCTCAAACCGATAGACAAAGTGAACGAACCACACAAACACTCGAGGACATGCTACGAGCCTGTGTGATTGACTTTGGCAAGTCATGGGATACCCACTTGCCCTTGGTTGAATTCTCATACAACAACAGTTATCACACGAGCATCAAGGTTGCTCCTTTTGTGGCTCTTTATGGTCGTAAATGTAGATCGCCTATATGCTGGGCTGAGGTGGGTGACACCCAACTAGCGAAATGACAATCACCAGACAGCACTCTCACAGGGCCAGAGATCATTTGGGAAACGACCGAAAAGATAATCCAAATCAAATCCCGACTTCAAGCATCACGATACCGACATAAGAGTTATGCCGACAAACGGCGAAAGCTTCTGGAATTCCAAGTCGGAGACCGGGTACTATTGAAAGTCTCTCCCTGGAAAGGAATGATTCACTTTGGGAAATGGGGAAAACTGAACCCGCTGTACATCAGACCGTTCGAGATTCTTGCTTGAATTGGTCCGGTAGCCTATAAGTTGCAGCTACCTTCAGAGCTCGACAATGTACACCCCGTGTTCCACGTCTTGAATTTGAAAAAGTGTTTACCAGATGAAACTCTTGTCATTCCTTTGGAAGAGATCGAGATAAACGAGAATCTCCTGTTCGTCGAAGAACCAGTCGAGATATTGGATAGGGAAGTGAAGCGTACGAAGCAGAGCCGCATTCCGATTGTGAAGGTTCAATGGAACGCCAAGCGTGGACCGGAAGTCACATGGGAACGCGAAGACCAGATGAAGCAGAATTACCCTCATCTATTCTCTCGTTCTTGAATCCATCTTTCAAAAGAATGTCGGGACGAAATTCCCTCTAACGGGGGGATGATGTCACAACTAGCATTTTGACTAAGAAATTTTTCGAGACTTGTGGGTATTTCCAAGAAGGCTTTTCACCAAGATCATCATCTTTGGTAAGTTCTCACTTGGATCTATGGTTTAGCTTCTTGATTTCTTCAAAAAAAATCTATTCTTAACCCATAATATTTCATGATTTATACTCTTAAGCTTCATAGAGTTCGAAAACCCCCTCAAGGAGCTTGCTAGGGCTGAAATCATCACTTCATTCTTCATCAAAAACGAATCCAAACCTCAAGGTGAGTTCATACCCCCTTGTTTTCGGTTTTACTTTGTTTTGGGGGGAGAATACAAGTACATATGTGTAGATCTATGTATTAGTGCATGTTATGTGTGATTTTCTTGGTTTATGTTGTGATTATGTGATGAAATATGATAGATCTCGAAATCTATAACAAAAGAATGTGAATTTTACAAACTATAACACTTTACACACCATAACATGGGAATGAAAGTGTACATATATGATGATTGTTGGAAAAATGAAACAAAATCTTGAAATATGGCCATTTTTGACAAATAAACAAAAAGATGAGAGTTTTATGACACTTTCGGTTTTACAAGGACTAAAAGAGTCAGTTTTATACAAAAATGAGTTTCTATGATATTCTTGGGAGTAAAAGGGCCAAAAATGCAATTTTTTTAATATTGGGCCTTAAAATGGGCTTTTCGGTTTTAGTGGGCCTAAATGTAAAAATCTCGATTTTTATGGAGTAAATCGTCATTTAACTCAAGTTTGAGTCTAAAATGTAAACCTACGGTTTCATGGTTAAAAATGAAATTTTTTCCAAAAACTTGGGCCAAAAACGTAATTTCTATGAAAAGTGAGATAAAAATGTAAATTTTTATAATCATGGGCCGAAAATGTCATTTTTATAAAACTTGAGTCGAAAAGTGTCATTTTATTTAAAAATTGGCTGAAAATGTAAATCCTTACAATAATAAGACGAAAATAATATGTCATATATATATATATATATATATATATATATATATATATTGGGCCAAAAATGTCGGTTTCTATAAAAATGGGCCAAAAATAATATTTAATATATATTTGGGTCATAAATATAAATTTTGTGATACTGGGCCTAATATATTCATTACATGTCCATTTGGGACTTTGTGGCCCATTTACATGTTTGTTGGGCCTAATGTGTTTATCACATGCTAATTTGGGCCTTTGTGACCCATTAACATGCTTAATGCGCCCAGTCTATACATCACAAGCTTAGTGGGCCATAGCTGCTCCCTTACATGTTTGTTGGGCCTTATACATTCATATACCTATTTTCTGGGCTTTGCAAATCATAACTATATATACAAAAACATTATACATAGCGTAATTTAATACTCGTGTGAAAACAATAAATGATCTAGTGAGACTTATCGATTCACACCTCAAGAGTGTATGATCGTAGCCTGTAGTTATAACCAGAGTCTCCTGGAGCGAGAGCTAGATTTTATGTATAGATCTATACGGGGTGACACCCCACACCTGAGTTGTTCGCTACATTTAGACTAGGCCAGTCTAGGGTGACAAACCTTACCGTAAATCAAACCGGCGCCTAAGAACGCCACGACAGGCGAACTCGTCAAAAATCAAGTATGGTTAAAACGGATCACTTAGAAATCCTCTCCAACATAATTTTATAGAATACCTATAAAATCTTGTGAATACAAAAAAAATATACATATACTGTTATTCGGTCATAGGGTTGAGACCACAACACTTTTATAAACAAAAAAATATCGGATTTTCTGGGGTAATACTCGTTAAACAATATCTTTTTACGTACTACAGAAAATACAGGGTTTTTATATGGATTACCTTTTTATACATTCCAAATACAGAAAACACACATGCATTAATACTTGATTTCGATACATCACGTTCAAACCATTCTCAGAAAATATCGGATTTTCTGGTGTTTACAAACAATTCAAAACTTTTCATTCAAATATGCTTATGAACTCACCAACATTATATATGTTGACATTTTTCAAAATAACTTGTATTCTCAGGGAATCGTTAAGAAGAAAGGTCAACAGGAAATGGTGGATTTTGTTATATTTTGTTATCATCATACATTAAATATTTTGAACATGTAATTTATGATATTATACTTGATGTAAACAATGCTAGTTGTATCTTGATATGTATGATGATGGTGTTGTCTTGTTTCAATTATATACAATTGTGATGATATTACAAGATGAAGTCACGCGCAAGCCCCCAGACGTTTTCGTCGTCTGGTTCGCGGGTGTGACAGTGCTAGAACCCAGAAGTTCTCCCTTAGGCCATCGTCGATCATACCGGAACAGATGATAAAACCACTATATCCCATCGATACGGGTGGACTAGCTTGATGAAACTAACCACAAGCCTTCCACATAGTACCCCCTGACCGATCTCCACTAGGAACCGAGAGAACACTGAACATCCCGATCCAGCAAAAGGAGAACGGCCTTTTACTAACTACTTAGTAATTCACGGTATGCAATTGGCATATGACCATATTTGATGATCTAACCCAACATGAGCAAAGAAATAAACCAGGGATACTATTTACCCAACCCACAACAATATTCCAAACTAAAGCAAAATTCTCACAATAATGTGCCGATAAAACTGACAGAAGACAAAGGTACACACCCGCAACATCGCCTGCTGGAGTCTTGACTTCTCCTTTCTGAAACAGCAGGTCCTAACTCCTATCTACCAGGGCTCCTGCCCTCCTCCTCGGACAGTCGTCCTTCTTGTGGCCCACCTGATCACAGTGAAAACAAAACTGGCTTGCCCCCTGAGAACAATCTCTACTGACATGACCGACCCCTCCACACTTGTAGCGGCCTAAACCCCTGGAATGACAAACTCCCTTATGCACTTTCCCGCACGTGCTGCACTGACTCCGACCCTGCTGGCCTTTCACCCGATGATCAGAAGTCTTGGGTCTCTTCCCGAGACCCTCTACTATACGCACCTGGCACGACCCTCTCTTCCCAATGTGCTCCAAACCGATCTGTCATCCTCAGACTCTGGAAGTCATATCCTCCAGGGTCTGACACCCTGTCACGCTCAATAGCTCACTTGCCAATGGCTGAGCTGCAACAGATGGAGCATCTTATGCCCCCAAATCGGGCCACAAACTCCTTCCCGAAGCTTCTCAGATTCTCCAAGACTCTCACCAATTCGAGTATGGATCCTGTACTTTTAGTAGTACGAGCCCACTACTACCTTCCACACCTATCCATACTTTCCTCAGCAATCCTCCCGAATCCTCCAAGTCACTTTCTCAAACTGATGCACCCACGTCTCACTAAACCCTCACTACTAGCCCACTGAAGCATATCCTAGGCTTTCCTAGGTTCCCGAACCCACCCAGTCCTCAGCTGCTGAAAGATTCCCAGTAATGTCAACTAGCTACCTCATGAATATAGCCACATGCAACAAAGATTAGATAATCCTTCGAGTAAAAGACTCATCCAATACTAGAAAAACAGCCTTTTACGACGCGCAATGCTCAGACGACGTGCAAATGCGTGTCAAGAAAGGCCCTGTCATAACGAGAGACGACACGCTATTGCGCGTCGTCTATTTACGACGCGCATTTACGACGCGCAATTACGACATGCATTTACGAAGCGCGTTTACGACACGCATTGCGTGTCAAGGAAGGCCCTGTCATAAAGGAAGATGACACACATTTGTGTGTCGTAACCTTACGACGCGCGTTTAGGACACGCAATGCGTATCATCAAAGCCCCTGTCATAAAAGAAGATGATACACATTTGCGTGTCATAAACTTCAACAACCATTTACGATATACATTTACGACACGTCTTTACGATACTCATTTACGCATAATACAAAAATATGGAAACAAATATATACCAAAACAATCAATTTCATCCAATAACAATAATATCAAAAAATTGTAATACATTGGTATTAAGAGGATTTGATTTTACATTGCTATTAAGAGGCTTTCCCTAACTCTAACCTAATACTACATTAATATTAAGGAATACCTTCTTGTTTCTACTTCTTATTGTTATGCTTCTTCTGTTTCCACATGATACCTGTTTCATCATCAACAAATTAGTATTCAAAAAGGCTTCAAGGATCATCAATCTATGTTATAAAATATTAAAATTTAATACACATGTAGTAAAATACCTTTTGCTACGAATCCATGCTTCAATACAGCCCATACCTGAATAAAATATTAAAACAAGAAGCATGTAAGATTTTTCAGCTATTTAGACACCTCCAATCCACTGTAAAATGTAAATACACCCAAAATAAATAAATAAATATAAAAACACAGTTGAGGATTCATGATGAAATAATAATTGAACACTTTGTAAACAGATTGAATAATGATAACTTATTGTAATTAACTACTATGAGATCAAACGAGTATATATGGAAATACCAAAATATAAACATGTTGATTAAATGTAAGTACCTTGACAGCAATTCTAAGGCAGCTGAATCTTTTAAGGACAATATCGTCTTTTACCACCTCTATAGTGAAAGAGATTCTACCATTCTCAGTTTTAGTACGCTTGGCTGATTTTTTTATTTCACTGGATGCAGTTTCAGTGTCTCGGGTGTTACCAAGGGATCAAGAGGCCGAATACTCTGCAAAGCTCTATCTTTATCGTATCCAGAATCCACAAGAATCGCCCCAGCTAGAGACTCTATCACATCTCCAAGTACCTATTTACAATAATACCCCCGAACAAAAAGTAAACTACATATATGCAAAAAAAATGTAACATAAAGTTATAAAAAGAACACTAAGCTTAGGAAAACTTGTCTCGGACTCCCATCCGAAAGTACTTTTCAAGGACAACTGGTCAAATTCATGAACATCTGCATTTGGCATACTATGACATAAATGCATCTTTTTCAGATCCAGAGCAATCATCCACGACTCCTGCACTGCTTGTTTCTGAAAAAATAACAACAATAATAATCATAACATTTCTGATGTAAATTATATTTTTTATCCAAAAAGTTTAGCTTTTTGCAATTTTGGTCTTTATTATGATGTTTTCTAACAACTTTGGTCCTTGAGCTGTTAAATCTAACTCTGACATTTTGATTTTTTTTAAATGACCATTTTGCCCTTGGACTAAAATATAAAAAAAAAAAATTAGCATACCCACAAGGACCAAATTGGTAACTTTTCACTTATTTTTAAATAACGCTTAATACAATTTATATTGCTTTCTCAATTTTGGTCCAGGGGCAAAATGGTCACTTTGAATAAACTAACAGCTTTAACAATCTAAGGACCAAAAACATTACAAAATTTAAAAAAAATAATAAAAAAATGAACGTGCAAGAGAAACTTTTGTTTATGCAGCAATAGATGGTATTCTGAAGGCTTTGATTTGGCCTTTCCAATCCTCTTCTTCACTATCTATTATCAATTAAAAAGTAAGAAAAATTAAATTCTTAAATTGATTTCCAAATTTATGTCTATGTCTAAATAAAAATCCAGATTAAAAATAGCCCTACAAATCTTGCGATACCTACATAACTGGGAAGACGTGAAATGTAAAAAGAATTGATTTTTTTTAGTTCCAACCCGCATCAACAGAATAGCCATTAAGCCAATGTTGTATTCATATTTTAAGTTTCATGGAGAACTATTTCCTCAGAGTATAACTCTAGTCTCATTAATTACGGAAGATTATTAGGATTTAGGATCATTAAGCCTAGTCCCTTCAACCAAAATAAAATAGTCCAAATGCACTTACTAAAAGAAACATGAGACAAAAAAAATAGAATTTTTAAATTCATACAAATACATACCTGCTCTATTGCTTCTTCAGGGAATAGATGCCAGTAACGCATAACATTCTTTTCATAACCAAATAAACAAATTTATATTCTAAACATACTAAAAACGGCTTAAATTTAGCAAAGTTTTCCAATTATTAGACAAATAATGGAGTTTTTTTTTACAAAGATATTGTAAATTAAAAAAGTATTTACCAGAGTATAGTAGTTTTGAAATGATTTACAGAAAGATTGTAAAAAGGATTTAACATGTGAAACATGGGCCACATGTTCCATTCAAATTTGTTTTCCAAAACATTTGTAGAAGCTATAATAAAGAAGTTAGTAATGAAGATGAAGAAGCATAATTTAAGAAATACCTGCAAGGCCAGAAAGCAAGATTCTAGGATTGACAGTTGGTAGTTCAGAAACATATTTAAGTTGGTATCTATGCTTCAAATGTATATAGAAGCTGCAATAAGAACATTTTTTATGGTCTCACTGCATAAAAAAATAGAAAAGACAGAAAATTGTCAGATACATAAGAAAAACATGACCAGATCCTGTAATAGCATGACAGACGGTCATTGAGTATAAATAACATCATTGTATTATCTGATTATATTTTATTTTACAGCAACAGGTAACTGGTGTTAGTCTGCACCAGGACACAAATAACAATCAGTTTTATCCAGCTCAATTCGTTCATATATTTTGTAGATTGATACCAGCAGCAACAACATACGTATGAACTTTCTAAGATCCTGAGTTGTTTTTGCATATCAAACCAAGTCCCCAAGGTTGACTTCTTCTTTACCAACTCAGTAATAGCCTTTCCTCCCTGCAACATGAAAATATATCAGTGGTCTTTCACAAAACAATTACCATGTTGAAAATTTTAAATTTGTATAAACAAAATAAATAAAATGCTAAGCATATATTTATATTTCTTGCATACAACCTAATTAGTCAGTTGCAAATTAAGAGAAAAAGTTGGAACAAAGAAAATTACAACTTTTCTGTATTGTTTGGAAAATGTAAAGTAGAAACTATTTTCATAATTTTATCTATTTCTAGATGGTAAAATTCAAATTTAGTAGGTCAAAGTTCATATGAAAAGAAACAAAATACAAAAAAATTAAAAACGTTATGGTTATCGAAATTAAAAACAGACGTGACAAATTTGATGATTTTGACACCTGTTATAACAACTTTTTGATTTTAGTAAGCAACCAACTTTATACAGTAAAGAAAAAGGTTATACTATGCCTTTAGGGAGAAACATAGCGAGTACCGTATCTACCCTCTTTTGCTGAGGACTTTGTACTGTAATTGAAGGTCTTTTGCAGCATCATCATCATCTCCAGCTTCTTCTTCACCTGAGAAATCTCCATCTCCAGCATCATCTTTTGGCTCCTCTGCATCATTGTCTTCTTCTTCATCATCATCCTCTATGTCATTACCATCTTTTGCCTCTCATTCAGTTGAGCTCTTCCTGTTAAGCTCAGAAAAAGGAAACATGTTAAAAAATCAAGTTTTATAAAATTTTCAGATTATAATAACAGAAAGTGTTTGGGAATTGAGCACTACTTTTGATCATTTCCAATCAAATTCGGCAATACACTTCCATCCTGAAGAAAAAGTCCCATCTGCTTAACAAAAAAACACAAAATTTCTCATGATAAAAATGAATTAAACTAAAAAAATGCAAAATTTTTGTTAACATTTCATGTCATATTGCCATCATTCCATCAAATGAAGGAAATTTATAAAAAGTTAGGAGAAGGGTATGAATTCCTCACTTAGTCATGCATTTGTTACAAATTTGCCTATGTATACTTTTTCTTTCCATTTCCCCAAGTATTCAAGAACTTTTTCAAATATTTTTAATTCTTTCCAACACCAAAAGATCTTGAAAGTGCAAAGAGCAATCAGCTTTAGGCGTTATTGGTTTTATGAGCTTTTCATCATACATAATACCTGGAACACCAACCAGATTTTGACCCCTCTCACTCTTTTAAAAAAAAGGTGAGACGGAAGAAGATGAAAGGAGATGAGGCGGTGGCAAGCTCTGTAAGAAAATTGAAAAATCAAACACGTGTCTACGGGTGTCAGAAGCATATATTGCAAAAGGAACACGTAGATGGCAGGGCACAGACTTGATGACACATGTAAACAAAAAAGTAGACAGAAAACTACAAAAAAACAGAAAACAAAAGCCAACCAATGAAATCAAAGAACTGTTCCCTAAGGGGGTTTGAAATTAATCTTATATATATATATATATATATATATATATATATATATATAATTAAGCCCAGTGAAAGAAGATATTGTTTGAACTTTGAATGTGAACAATTGTGAGAGTTGATTTATCATTTGTATCAGAAAGATGGAGGGGAAGTACCAGTCTGATCACATAACATAACCTCAGAGTAAAGAAGTAGAAATAATATATAATATAGAGTAAATAATAATGATAAGGTAAAACCTGCAATGTTTATCAGCAAGGTATTTCACAAACTGATCACATGCAATATATATTAAAAACAATAATGACAACCAGCTTTCAAAACAATAATGATAAGGTAAAACCTGCAATGTTTATCTGAAGGGTATTGAATCTTTAGGACCACTTCATGTATTCAACAACATTTTTTTGGCTATCTTTCTTTATAATGGCTCTTAGTCTGCCACCATCTGCACACACACAGCAAGATAGTTAGATCATATTAAAGATTATGAGATGATTTGATGGAGTTTTCATGTGTCAAGTAGTGAAGTAATTAGAAGAATATATGATAATGATTTGACTAAAAAATATTAGTAGAATTAAAGTATATCCTACATTAAAAGTGTGAAAAGGATATACACTTGAAAGTTTATAATTGGGATTTTATGTGTTAAGTATTGTATAATATTATGTATAGTGTGTACAAGTCATATTTGCACAACGTCCCAAATATGAGGACTCTCTAATTATTATGAATTCTAAAAAATGTGTATGCCTAATATTCCAAGTCTTGGACAAAAATTACAGGAAATATCAATCAAAAGCTTTGTTTTTTGGTTTTTTTTTTACTGAACATAAACAGAAATGATAAAAGAGGCAATGGCTAAATTCATGGTATGCTATGTTAGAGAGATTTAAGTGAGGGGTAGATAAAGACTTTTCAGCCAAAATGTTGATCTATAACACACAAAAAGGAAAAGTAAAAATAGACAAAAATTAAGTAGAGCAATACAACTGTCATCAAAATCAACTAATTTCCTAATTTTGATGGACACTGAAAAGCTGTAATCTAATCCCAGTTTCCAAACATTCAAACAAATTTGCAATCAAAGCGGAGGAAGGTGAAGAAAAGTATGACGAACCTGAACAGTGCAATCATCGAGTTATGATTCCTAGAAACGAGATATATTGAAAACCCTAGATACCTTCTTTTCAGTGGTGAAATCGGACTGAACGCGCATCATGAACTGGGTAGCAGTGTGTGCACCACGTATCTTCTTCTGCAATATTTTTTCTCTCTAATTCTTACGAAGTAGCTAGAGGAGGTGTGACACTGGGGAGGGTCGACGGTGTCGTGCTAGCGATGGTGGGCGGAGGTGGGTTTGTCTCAAGGAAAGTGGGTTGGAAGCGGGAAAGAAAGTGTGTGATGAGAGGGGAAACCGGGTAGAGCAAAGAAGAAATCTGGCGATGACACGCATGTTGTTGCCTTTATGGATGCCGACAACCGGAAAGAGAAGGCGGTGGCGGTTGGAGTACGAGCGAAAGAAGCAGCAGTAGTCGTCGCCGATTAAACCTATTTGTTATCAGCCGATTAAACCTCCTTTTTAGCAAACAAAAATCATGGAACGGGAGGATAATGAGTATACCGTTTCATAAAATTAGAAGATCAAAAACAAAGGATGATGATCGTCCCTCTATTTCTCGATTGAGAAGATGAAAGATAGAAAGAAGGTAGAAAAGAAGTACAAGGGGGTTTTCAGAATTTTGGGGATTTCGTTTCCCCCGTATCTAACGCGCGTTTCATTAAAATTATAAAGCGACACCTATGGAGGACGCCCATTTAAGATACAACGCCCTCCGTGTTTTTAATTTTTTTTTTCTTGTGACACTAATTTAAGGGTACGCAATAATGCGTGACCTAAATCCTTAAATTTTTTGAAGAGATTACACTATTTTAATGTCACTCTCTTTTGCGTAACATGAATCAATGAGTGTCGTGGTTTGCGCGTCGTAAAAGGGTCTTTTTCTTGTAGTGATATCCCTAGAATGGTTGGACTCAGACAAGAGTTGCGCAATAGGGTCAAGTCCATCACTCTAAGATTATCCGGCCCGTGTCCCATATGACTTAGCATATTCACTTAGTAGCTAACTCACATCACTATGAGTCCCACAAAGCACAAAGCAAGTAGCATTTAGACAATGGAAAATCTAACCATCGTACTCCAATCAAACCATTATATCCTTTAATCAGGAATCTGTACATGCAATTCAAAGGCTCATACAATCACGCATAACCTAAACAGGCTATCCTACCATTGGTTGATCAATACTAACATGCAGGTCTACAAGCACATATACTAGGCATATAAGGCATCCTTCCTAGATCCTTAGCCCTAATCTATCATGCATTTCACATATTCTCAAATTCATATCATAACATAACATGTATGGGTATCTTGGGAAAAACTTACTTCAGCTCGGCTGATTGCACGCATCACACTCCTTGTTCTTTCTCAAAATCCTTAATTTTGATTTTAGAAAAATTATTTTATTGTAAAAATTTCTCAAAACCTCGATTTGAGTCCAGACACCCCCAAAGGTGTGTCCGAATCCCTCAAACCAAGGCTCTGATACCGACTTGTAACATCCCAAAATTTAAGACCAAAAATTTCATTTTTAAATAAGTTGTTATAAAAACCTATAGTATAAAAACATTCATAATATCATCTCATGTCAAAACCGGTATGTCAATAATCAAAACATGTCATCATAAATCAATATCAGAGTATAATCTCAAAGATCTCATGTGCAGAAAACATAGTGTGATGCGTTGCGATCGAGC